CATAACATGTCATCACGTTTTATATTCGATAAATATATTCATTGTAAGTTCAACGTTAATGGCGTAACACTGTTTATTACATGGTGTCAAGAGAAACTACAATCATGGAACATATGAAGCCTATGGGTCCGTTAAAAATGGACGGAAATGTGGCAGAAAACTGGAGGAAATGGAGACAACGCTGGAATCTTTACGCGAAAGCCAGTGGAGCCAACGAAAAAGACGAAGAGATTCAGTGTGCAATTTTCCTTCATACAATCGGAGAAGAAGCATTGGAAATCTATGATACTTTCACCTTTACTGAAACTGAACAAGATAAGATCGAGCCGCTCATTCAGAAATTTGAGAGCTACTGTACACCAAGGAAAAACACGACATACGAGCGATATATATTTAATACGTGTGTACAAAACGGAAGAAAACTCGATGCATTTATACTTGACCTTCGCAACAAAGCAAAGACCTGTGAATTTGAATCACTACAGGACAGCTTAATTAAAGATAGAATCGTTTGCGGAATCGACAGCAACAGCATCAGAGAGCGTTTGCTCCGAGACAACGACCTCACGTTAGAAAAGGCGATTAGCATCGTTAGAGCCACAGAAACAAGCAAGACCCAAGTACAAAAGTTAAATAATCCTTCGCTCGAAGTAGAATCAATTCACAAGAATTTTGAAAGAACCTCTCGCAGTAAATACCAGAGGGAAGAAACGAAACCAAGTAGAAATGTCAGCAAAACACAGCCTTGTTCGCGATGTGGCTCAAATCATGCACCAAAACAATGCCCAGGGTTTGGACAAACATGTCGCAAGTGTCACGGAAATAATCATTTCGCCAAAATGTGCCGCTCGAAGAACCTCAACACTCAAATGTCAGAAACACGCGTACACGAAGTTCGAAAAGAAGAAACTACCGATAATTCTAGTACGGAGGAAGACGAATTGTTTATCGGAGAAATTACGACAACAACGGCCAAAAATGTATTAATTACTAACCTCAAGGTTAACGGCAAAAATGTAAATTTCAAAATAGACACTGGCGCTCAGTGCAATGTGCTACCCGAGGAAATTTTCGACGGAATTAAGCAGAAACCACAACTAATCGCTGCTGGGACAAAACTAACAGCATATGGAGGAGCACAGGTTCCCGTGAAAGGAAAATGCGTTTTAGAAATCGAGCAAACTGCAGACCGGAAAATGGAAGTCGAGTTCTTTGTTGTCAAGGCTCCCAATGCCAAAGCACTGATTGGGTTACAAACATGTCAGAATCTTGAATTAATTAGCATAAATCAAATCAGTGAAATCCAGGAAAAGAAAGCAGACATCATCGAGGACTACAAAGATGTATTCACTGGTTTGGGTCTCGTCGAAGGAGAATATCACATTGAGTTACAAGAAAATGCCAAAGCAACGATTCAACCACCGCGAAAAGTACCATCAAGTCTGATACCAAAACTGAAAGAAACACTTGATAATCTTACGAAATCAGGAGTTATCAGCAAATTGGATCGACCTACCGATTGGGTTAATAGTCTCGTAATCGTAGAAAAGAAAGATGGATCACTGAGACTGTGTTTAGACCCGAAAGATCTTAATAACTCAATAAAAAGAGGACATTACAAAGCACCGTCCGCTGAATCCATCTCAAATCACCTGAGTGGAAAGAAAGTATTCACCGTAATTGACATGTCCAACTGCTACTGGCATAAAAAACTTGATAAAGAGTCATCCTATCTGTGTGCATTCAACACACCATTCGGTCGATACAAGTTCAATCGCATGCCTTTTGGCATATGTTCTGCATCGGATGTAGCGCAGAAAATGGTAGATGATGAATTTTCTGACATCCCTGGTGCACTAGCAGTACATGATGACATCATAGTCTCAGGTGCCAACACAGAAGAGCATGACATAGCTCTAGAGAAAGTCCTACATCGAGCAAGAGAACGAAACATAAAATTCAACAAGAAGAAGATCCAACTACGAGTCACTGAAGTGAAATATCTTGGCAACATCGTTAGTGCTAAAGGATTCACTCCTGATCCTGAGAAGATTAAAGCCATTGTCGAAATGCCTCTACCAAAGAGCAAGCAAGATTTACAACGCCTATTAGGAATGGTGAACTATCTTTCACAGTACATACCCAACATGTCTGAGATCACTGCGCCACTGCGTACCCTTCTCAAGAAAGACATACAATGGTCCTGGCACAACGAACACCAGAAAGCACTCGAAAGAATCAAGAAAGTCCTCACAAGCAGCCCAGTTTTGCACTTCTACGACATCGATAAGCCTGTTATCCTCCAAGTTGATGCGTCACAAGGTGGACTGGGTGCATGTTTAATTCAGGAAGGACACCCAGTAATTTATGCATCCCGATCACTCACCAATGCTGAGCAGCACTATGCTCAGATAGAGAAAGAGCTGCTCGCAATCGTTTTCGCATGTGAACGTTTCAACCAATTCATTTATGGGACACAAGTCACAGTACACAGCGACCACAAACCGTTGGAAGCCATCATAGCTAAACCATTATCACAAGCACCACCGCGAATTCAGCGTCTTCTCATCCGACTACAGAAGTATCACCCAACAGTGAAATATGTTCCCGGGAAATTCCTGTTTATCGCCGACACTTTGTCAAGAGCGTACTTACCAGAAGAAGGAGAACAACAGGAACTTAGTGAGGACATTGAAGTAATGGTGCACAGCATGGTTACAGCAATACCAGCATCTCCTGAGAAAATGGCAGAGCTTAAGGAAGAAACAGCGAATGATGAAACGCTACAACAACTTAAACAGCAGATGGTTCAAGGTTGGCCTGGTCGTAAGCATGAAATCCCGCAAAACTTAGCTACCTACTGGAACATTCGCCATGAGCTGAGTGAAGCAGAAGGTCTGATCTTCAAAGACCACCAGTTAGTCATACCTACAGCAATGAGGAGCAATATGCTCAACCTGATACATGAAAGTCATCTCGAGATAGAGAAATGCAAAGCACGCGCAAGAGCAATCCTTTTTTGGCCTGGAATGTCAAAGGATATCTATGAGAAAGTATCAAAATGTGCTACTTGCGCCACATATAGAAGAAGAAACCAGAAGGAACCGATGATAGCACATCCAATACCTGAACGACCATGGCAAAAGCTAGGAACTGATCTGTGTGAATGTAAGGGCAAGAATTACCTCGTTGTAGTAGATTACTATTCGAAGTTCATCGAAACAGCCCTTCTTCCAAACAAGACAGCAGGAACAGTAATTAGACATTTGAAATCAATTTTTGCCAGACACGGAATCCCAGAAGAGTTGGTATCTGACAACATGCCCTTCAATAGCAAAGAGTTTGACGAATTCGCCAAAGAATGGAGATTCAAACAAACAACATCAAGCCCAACCTATGCTCAATCAAATGGCATGAGTGAAAAAGCTGTACAAACCGTAAAACGGATCCTGAAGAAGGCTGACGATCCATACGTTGGTCTGATGGAGTACCGTAACACGCCTGTTACTGGAATGACATACTCCCCATCACAACTGCTGATGAGCCGCACCACAAGAACGAAGATTCCGATATCCAAAGAGTTACTACTACCAGCAGTGCCAATCAATGCACAGCAGCAGCTTGAACAACGACAGAACCAGCAGAAGCAGAACTACGACAAATCAACCAAACCATTACCACCACTTGAAATTCGAGAAAACATCCACCTACGCCAGGACAGTATCTGGGTACCAGCCACCGTATCTGGACTGGCCCCTGCCCCAAGATCGTATATCGTCACAACATCAGATGGACAACAATACAGACGGAACCGTCGTGACCTTTTAAAGACCAACATTCCGCCTTCAACCATAATAGAGCAAACTGAGGATGTTGGTGAAGAACAACCGACCATTATTCCACAACCACCAGATTTAGACCTCCAGAACCCACCTAATCAGGGACGACCAATGACAACCACAGCGCTACCAATAAAATACAGAGACTATGTCATGAAATGAAATAGATTTAATCGAACTTTCTGAGTTACTTTCAACTTATCCTGCCAATAGTAACTGGACTATTATTACCTATAGATAAACACGGACACGATTATTCGAACAGTTCATATTAAAGTTATATTAATATTTTGTTAGTTTAAGAAGGGGGATGTAATACATTGACATTGACATTGACAAGTTGGACACCCCCCCAATTGTCTAGACATAACATGTCATCACGTTTTATATTCGATAAATATATTCATTGTAAGTTCAACGTTAATGGCGTAACACTGTTTATTACAACACAGTCATTGGAGGTAACAATTGATAATAGACTGACGTAGAAGGAGCAACATAAAAAGGTAATAAAATCATTCAGCGCAAAACTGTCCCAATTAAAAAGAATGAAGTATCTACCGAGATATGTACTGGAGGAAATTTATCACAAAGCAATCATACCAAACGTGACATACGGCATACTAGTTTGGGGAACATGTTCACCTTCGTTAATGGATGATTTAGAGAACCATCACGTAAGAGCGGCAAAGATGATATATAACATTCGGCAAGATAATTTAACGAATGAACAAATACTAGAACAAGTAGATTGGAAACCTATAGGTGATATATATAAAAAGCGTATCTTGACTTTAATGCATGATGTATATTATATGAATGTTCCACAGGATTTGCAAAACCTATTCACACAGACTGCGAGAGTAGGAAGACGAAAACAGAATTTTAATCTGGTTAGGTGTAAAACTGAAAAAGGAAGGACATCTTTATGGTACAGAGGTCCTATAGCATGGAACCAACTTGATAATGACACTAAGGCAATAGTTAATAAAATCGCATTTAAAACTAAATTAGGAATAGTCCAAACTTAGATAGTATAAATTTTCTTAAAGAAGCAGCTGTAAATAACAACAAGAATACTAAAGACTTCAAATATTTCTAAATAGGTATGATTTTGTAAATTTTATATTAGTTTAGTTTAGTTTTGCAGGTCCACATCAGCTTTTAGTTGACATATGTAATTAACCTGCATTATCAAATAAAGTATGAATGAATGAATGAATCCAACAAATTGCATAAAACTGTTCTTTGGTAAGATCATGTGAACACTTTGGAACAAGGAAAGTCTACATCTTAGAGAATCTCCAACTTAAGAAGAATTACAGCGAGTGGTACCTCAACACTGCCAAAGGCAAGAATTCAGATTCAAAGTCACAAGCAAGTTTGCTGATTCTGTTGTGGAGCTAGATCAACCGCTGAGCATGGAATGCAGAATTCTAACATGCAAGGTAGTTGGTGTACTTCAAATCAAATCAAAAATATATTTCACCATACTTTAAAATATTTACAAGTGTTATATTAAACACACAATTACAATATTGCTTGTATTTATTGGTGTATTATATGTTATAAAGATATGGCAGGAGATTGGTATAGAAACTCGAGAGAGTTTGTTAATTACCAATCACCTTATCCAGCAGAGTACAGAGATATTAAGAGGCTGTCTCCGTAAAAACCTCCAGGTCAATATGGGGCTGAAAAATAGATTTCTCTCATACTCTAGTATTTTGAAGATCTATCCGTGGGAACAACTAAAATCGATGTCATTTTACTCAAATTTCCTTTAAATTATTTTTGGGGGCGATTGGTGCTCGATCGACTGGTAACCCAGCTAGCACAGTACGTAAACACAACGTTTTAAATTGGTTGTGGTTTGGTTAGGTCCGACCTAACCTTCAAATAACGTAATTAGAACGTTGTTCATACACGACACTAATTAGAATGAATATCCTGACGTGGAAACTACGTTCTCATAACGTTATAGATTTACGGTTTCTACCAACGTCGAGAAAACGTTTTAAACACGTACGGGTCCACAGGTCGGTACGTGGCAACTACGTTCTTATTGCGTTACAGATTTACGTTTTCCGCCAACGTCGAGAAAACGTTTTAAACACGTACAGGTCCACAGGTCGGTACGTGGCAACTACGTTCTTATTGCGTTATAGATTTACGTTTTTCACCAACGTCGAGAAAACGTTTTGAACACGTAGCCAAACGTTTTGAAAAGGATTACACTTTCAGAGCAAGGTACACGTGTAATTACCGCTGTTCATATATCGACTGAGCCAAATATGCGTAATTTATTCTATTCTCAAATTGCAATGTATTTTATTTGCGCACGTTTTTCCCTGAGCGTATAGTTTTTTGAGGCAAAGTTTACGGAAGAAATTATTCGATTTTCATATACACGTTCGAAGGTATGTATATGTTCAACAGTAAATCTCTTCTAATGTAATGTATCTCTTCTTCGTGGAATGTCCATTCAAGGTTTTCTAACATTTGATTATTTCCTCTCATGTAGTCCTTCCGACAGTTTGTTGTTGACGTTCTTGCTTAAACCAGTAAATTGTGTCGTACGAACGCGGAACGCCACGACTTTATAGTCCGAATGTAAGTATATATTTGCTGTTTGGTTATATGTTTTTACTGTATTGCTGTCTTGTCAGTTGACCTTTGATATTTTCCTTTGATAAACGAGAAATTTTAAACACAATAGTAGAGCTTTCATGACATGGACACAGCATGATGCATTTTTTCGAAAGGGCATGTCTTAACAACCGGTAAATATTGTAGCTCATACTTTGCATTACAGTAAAATGGATTCTTAATCTGAGTATTATCATATTTTAACTGCATACATTCAACATGTTTGCTGCATATTATTATAGACTCGTTGCTGTAACATGAGAACTATAGGGAAATTTGAATATATAAGGCGCTTAGTTTGAATAATTTTGTGTTTGTTTTTTCCAAGATGCTAAATAACGTACATAGCTGTTGTTATACAATCATTTATGAATTCGTTTCATTGAATCTTTTCCAACACAAAAACCAATAGCGTATTGGAAAATTTGCGCGACTTTTATATTTCAGAGCACGATCGAATCCGTTGAGTCAGTGAAGTGTCTGTTTCTAACATGCAAATTGTTTGCACTTTTAGAAAACGGCTGATGCGTCTGCAGGTAAAGATGGCCAAAATAAAGAGTGACTCGAGTCTGTTGCACGAAAGTATAACGTTCTTTTATGCCGGTTTTCCACTAGCGAATTTTTTCGTGCGAAACGACATTTATATGGTTAAAATTTAGAAGACTTTATCATAAGGTGATAAGTAATTTTACATAAGTTCCGGCTGACTGAGCAGAGAGCTCATAAGCCAAAAGAATATATAGTCTGTTTGCGCGACAAAATTCACTTTAGCTTCTGTAATCTCTAGACTATATTACCTTTGTCCAAATATCGTTGTATTCTACCATCATAAATATCTATAACTAGGACTATTTTCTCCTTTATCTTTTATCTTTACGTAAAAAATATTATATTATATTATATTATATTATGATTTATGTATTTATGTATGAACGTTTCGCTGCAATATATATATTTCGTTATATAAAAGTTGTATGAGTGCATTAATTGCTTGAATAAATTCACGTTTCATGAACGTTGTGAAAACGTTCTTTCTTACGTTGTCTTACTACGTTGTGACAACGTACTCCGGAGTCGACAAAATCACGTCCAGCGCACGTAAACTCACAACGTTTTTTTGACGTATAAGCGGAACGTTCTAAAAACGTTGTGAGGAAGTTCTTTTTACGCTACTGACAACGTTGTGACAACATCCTCTGGAGTCGACAAAAACACGTCCAGCGCACGTAAAGAGACAACGTTTTACCAACGTAAGCTGCACGTTCTAAAAACGTTGTGAGGACGTTTTTGTGCTAGCTGGGAACCAACTTGATACTCCAAATGAAAGCCAAATATCGACATATTTTTAGAGCTATTTTTTAAATCAAATTCATACATAAATTTCAAAATTTTTGCTCAGAAATATAGACTTATCCTTCTATTTTCGCGGGTGATATGACTTAGATCATTATTCTTTGGTATAAAATAGAAAACAGCGCAGTTATTGACCCTCCTGAACGGATAAAGGATATCGTCTCAAAATATGCCAACTTCGAAAGCTTATTTCAAAATCGTGGCACTTGATTGGCACATGACTTTAACTTTTCTATAAACTACTAACCATTAGTCAACACAAATCGCCAATAATATCTTTCTGATCTACCATTTAACAAAAATGACAAGCGCGCAAACTTTGTAAAATTTGAAAATGTGTCGAAATCGAGCATACTTTATCGGTAAACATAATTATTGATATTAACAGATAAAATCACCTTATACTACACTGAATGAAGCTTGATTATGTAAATATATGTCTTTCGTCATTATTCTTTGGTTTGGCGCTTGAATCAAATTGTTTGAGTACAGTTTGGCTTCACGGATAGAGTCATTCAATGCCAGTGTTTTCTGCGCCCCTCAATGCCACGAATCCTGATTGTGACATACTATACAATCTTCGCTCTGTCCGCTTTGTTTACCTCTTTAACAAATACCTTTACCTGTTTAACAAGTAACAATGTTCAATGAAATTGGAAAACTCAGAATTAGTCATACTACAGAGAGAATTTTCATCGTTTTTAAACTGTTTTATAAAAGTTTCGTTAGAATGTACGAATTAAATCTCGGAGAAAACCCCAGGCCCTGGCCGAAAGAAATCAGAAATGTATACTCGCTGTGATGTCAAATATCAATATTTTGTTAGTTTCGCTCAGTATAGTTTTCTAGCAACTGAATTGTCTCTAGGTTTAGAAACAATTATCAATGAAACTAGAATTCAAGTAAGTCACGGTTCTGTATAAAAAATCAACTTTTCAGGCCGACCCTGGGTCACTTTGCTCAAAGCTGTGCTTCAAGAATTTATATTATTTCTTATTGTATAAAAATATGTGAATATTTTGATATTAATAATACAAAACAATTCAGCGCAAACAGCTGTAACCCATTTGAACGTCTCAGTTATTTAATCAATGTTATTCCTTTTTTCAGTAACAAATACAAAGGTTCTGAAAATTAGAATTAATTTATATTCTTCTTTCCGACAAGCTTTAAAGGGTGGCAAATTTGCAAGTGATAACTAATGTCATTCTTACACGCCAGCAACTTCGAAGAACAGTCTACTGTGTCTCGGAATTTTCCACACTCAGAAGTAGAAAAGGAACATTTCTACATTATTGCTTACCGTCATTCTCATCTGTCAACATAAAATCTACTGTCTGTCGAAATCGTTTAGGTTTACCTAACGTTGCGTGATGTAGTAGAAGTAGAACACCATTATTGTAAACACAAAAACCTTGTGCAATACTGTCTAAAATTACTATTTAATTCAATACAAAGAAAGGGAAATCGAGAGCAACGAAACATTTCATCGTCATTTGATTGACATGTTTACGCTCAGCGAGTACATTTCTTTCGGTTAGGCGTTTTCCCCGAGATTAATGCGTACATTCTATAAAACGAAACTTTATATAACAGTATAAGGTAAACAAACCAATGAAAATTATGTCTGTTATATGACTAATTCTGAATTTTCTAATTTCTTTGAGACATTTTATTTACAGGAGGTAAACAAAGCGAACAGAGCGAAGTTCATATGTCACAATCAGGACTCATGGGCATTGAGGCGCGCAGAATTCGAACACACTGGACACACTGGCATTGAATGACTATCCTTGAAGCCAAACTGTACAGTCGAACAATTTCATTCAAGTGCAAAACCAAAGAATAATGATGGAAGACATATATTAACATAATCAAGCTTCATTCAGTGTAGTGTAAGGTGGTTTTATTTGTTAATATCAAGAATTATGTTTACCGATAAAGTATGCTCGATTTCGACACATTTTCAAATTTTACAAAGTTTGCGCGCTTGTCATTTTTGTCAAATGGTAGAGCAGAAAAATATTATTGGCGATTTGTGTTGACTAATGTTAGTAGTTTATAGAAAAGTTAAAGTCATGTGCCAATCAAGTGCCACGATTTTGAAATAAGCTTTCGAAGTTGACATATTTTGAGACGATATCCTTTATCCGTTCAAGAGGGTCAATAACTGCGCTGTTTTCTATTTTATACCAAAGAATAATGATCTAAGTCATCTCACCCGCGAAAATAGAAGGATAAGTCTATATTTCTGAGCAAAAATTTCGAAATTTAGGTATGAATTTGATTTAAAAAATAGCACTGAAAATATGTCGATATTGGCCTTCATTCGGAGTATCAAGTTGGTTACCAGTCGATCGAACATCAATCGCCCCCAAAAATAATTTAAAGGAAATTTGAGTAAAATGACATCGATTTTAGTTGTTCCCATGGATAGATCTCCAAATACTAGAGTATGAGAGAAATCTATTTTAGAGCCCCATACTGACCTGGAGGTTTTTACGGAGACAGCCTCTTAAGTAGCTATTAATTTGTTGTTTGTGTGAGAGAAAGGAAAACAATATAATGATATTATATTCTTTTAATAAAGCAAATAACTCATGATTATTCAATCATTTCATTAAACATGGAATATTTAAGCTTTTTCTGGAAAGATTGGAGTGATGTAGCATGGATGATGGAATCATCAAGTGAATTCCAAAGAGTAATCCCACTTTGTCTTAAAGTCATTTGTCTAGATTTGGTCCTGGCTTGAGTGACATGAATTTTACTGGCAATTCTTGTGTTATGAGTGTGAATTTCATTGTTAAAAGTAAAGTAAGTTCGGAAAACAGTGGGAAGAGTGGATGGAGCAAATACACATCTATACATGAGAGATCCAGTTTGTAACTTATTAATATCATCATAGACAATCCAGAAGACAGGGACTGGAAACGCCTAATGTTTTACGTGCGCCATCCGTGATGCGGCCAGCTGCAGATCTTGCGGGCTCATTTAAACAAAATCAAATTCAAAATGGCGGAAGCTACGAGTGAGGTTATCGCATTTGTCGAGAAAGAAATTGGATTGGGATGTGATATAGATTGGGATGCAATTTTCGATGTGGAAAATATAGTAGAAAATCCACAAAATGACAGTGATAGTGAAAGTAGTGCAAGTAGCGATGACGATGGCGTATATGCAGTTGAAGAAAAGCTATCTGCAAATGGTATAAATAATTTGAAACTTTTCTATTTTGTTTGTATAACTTTTTCCACTTTAATATCGATAAAACAACTATAAAATTTATACATGTACAGTAAGTAGACCATGTACATGTGTTAAATGGACAGTATATAAATATATAGTATACATGTGATTGTTATATAAATATTTATATTTGTTACTGAATATATTGTGTGTAAACAATATTTTTTTTACAAAATTAGCTATTTGTGTAATAAATTTCAGACAATGCACTAATTATTTACTAATAATTTTCATTTTCAGACAATGCACTTGCATCAACAGCATATACCAGACAAGATGACCAGCCAATGGAGAACAAAATTGACAATACACCTGGTAATTTCATATAAATTATACTCATGTCAGGCATTAAAATAAGGATTTTTTTACAAGGAAACACTTTACATCCACACCAAGGGCAACAATCACTTGGAAGTGTGCCAGACTAGCTTGAGCACAAGTACTTGTCAACTAAGAAAAGCCTTTATTGAATATTTGTTAAAGTTCAGTGCCACATACATGTAATTGCAAACATTTGTTTCAGATAGGTAAAATGCGGGCCAATAACTATTAATTTTCACCGTAACTTGAACAATTACTAACTAGTTATATCTTGAGCTAATGCAAAAAGTACACTGTCCCAAGTACACACTTTACGATTTACAAGGACACATTTTCCTTTTATAAGAACACAAAGTGTGTCAAAGATATGCTTATTTTTAAATGCTTGACTCAAGTGTATATAGTAAATATTATATTCTTACATTTCATATGATGTCATAGACTCCAGTGGGGGTCATCTATAAATCATTGGATTGAGTTATTAATTTTTCACTGTATGCATGTGTTGGCTTTGTGTTTAGTAGTCAATATGTGCAATTTCATGTCATTTGCTCACTTCCAGTGCAGCATTTAGCATTGATACACTTGAGGTTCCCTGCGAGCAAAGTCCTCTCCTATTCTTCTCAGCACGGCACAGAGAAGCGAGAGAGACTCAGCAGAACTTGTGTATAAATTCATTTGAGCATGTGCGAAGGTTGCTAAGCAACTGCCTACACGGCGATTTGGGGGACATTGGAGTTTCTGTAATTTGATACATCTTTATCCCCTTGCGTGCGCCTCGATCACGCAAAATTTGACGTCTTCAGCGTTTCATACCGTAGACATGCGCGCATTTTAAGGATGAAAAAATGCAAATGGCGGAGAAGAATCAGAATTTCTCTGGCTTTCGGTAGGTATTAAACTCATGTTTTTCAGATGACATTAAGAATGCTTTTTTTTTTATTCTCTCAAAAGGATCCACTACAGGGGTTTGAGGGGGCGAAAGAGATCTGTGGCTTTAAACCGATCTAGAAATACTCTTTCTTCAACAATTTCGTGAGCATTATTTTGCATAATGCTAATTACATATACTTTATGAAGTTTCACCCAAATATTTCAATTTAAATTGCAGATGAGTTCGAAAAAACAAGCTGTAAAGTGGCGGCGGTTGGTTTCACTTGCAGAAGCCGTTACTGAACACAAGAAGAAAAACAGCCCTTGGATTCGGAGTTCAGAAGGACGTGATTATTTAATACGACCTGGCTTTAAATCAGAAAGATCCATAACCCTAGCAAATGGAGATGTCTGCCAAGTATTTTCTGAGGTAATCAAACCACAACTTCTGCCTTTATTTAAGTGTACATGCGAGGAGAAATCAGTCAAAATAATTGCTACGACACCAACACAGGCAGCAAACAGTGTGTTAAAAGAACTTGGATTACAGACAAATAAACATTGGTCAGGGCCAATGTTTTTTGGATTTTTAAGAAAGGAAATTATAAGCAAGCTTAGTGTTAATCAGGTTTCTGATAATACTGAAAATGAAGCTCCCAATACCGATGAAAGTGAACCATCTAGCCCTGATAAAGTCACGATAAACATTGCACAAAGGTCTGGACGGTTGGTTAGTTGGCTGGGAATTCTATCTGTGGGGGAAGACCCTCCATGTGATGATGGAACAAATAGAACCTTGTGGTGGTATGGCTCAGGCGAAAATGTTGTGCCTCTTCGACCAGGTTACGATGCTCGACTTAATATAAATTCGGAAGGAACGTCATTTGAGATTTCATGTAAGGTTGTTAGTTCTCGTTCTCATAATTTTGGTCCTATATTTCAGTGTGCGGTTATTTCTGGTGAGGACAACCTATACACTACCCAAGAAGTTAAACCAACTACTGCTGTGAGGAATGTGTTTGATTTTTTAGAGATCAAAGAATATAAGAAAAAGATTTCTGGTTATGAATTTTTTGGCTTCCAGAGACCAGATGTCATTAAACAACTCCAAGCGTTAGCCAAAGTTTGTAGGAAACGACAATTGTATGACGATCTTGCAGAATCTACTACAACTAATGACACCAGAGTTATAAAGAGAAAAATTGTATCACAATATCCTCTGCTTGATAAGGTTGCAAACACAAAGACTCGGAATGCTGGACCAACCAATGCTTTGAAACCTCAAGCAAGGAAAGAACGAAACACCCTAGTACACAAGATGGTGAAGTTTACATCCTCTAATGATGTACAAAGTTACATTGTGTACCTGTGCCAAAATGATCCTGGCTTAGTTACAAGTGCTATCGAAGAGAGTGGGTCATACCTGGATGAACTTGTTTCTGAATTAGAGATTGCTAGACCAAGGTATATAAGTTTACATAATTCAGCTGAGTTTTTAGTTGGAAAAACCCGCTTGTCCCAAAGAGAATATATTGCAGCCAGTAAGACTCTTAAGAAAGCAAATGTTTACCTGTCTCCATATGCTGCTGTTGCCAAATATATATCGGAACTGGAAGTTGGGGTAATCAATTTACACAAACATTGTGTCAATTTTGAGTACGAGGGGCTTGATTGTATCTGTTCTGGTGCTGAATTTCAAGATACACTTCAGAGAGTAATTTCCACTGAGGTGCTGTTTCAGAAATTTGAATTCCCAACTCAGGAACAGCAAACCAAGCTGTTTGCACATCTAAAAAGGGAAGACCCACAACTCTATGGCAAATTGGATCCATGTAAGTGTACCTTATTCCTTAGAGAAACAGGCGACAATTTTAGAGCTGGTGCTCATCAACCAACCGAACAAATGTCATTTAGCATTCTAAACTTGACTAAGCTAATAAACTCTCCTTATGGTCAATTTCTGATTTCTATTTGGAGGGGTCCTGAGACTAGGAACTACATTCAAGCTCATGTAAAGGGCCATTACGATGATGTGAGGTCAGCTGTACATAATGGACTAGCCTTAACATTGGCTGATGACACCATGGAGACATTTAACATCATTGCATTTCTTGTAACTGATCTTGGTCATCTGAAGGAATCTCTTGGTAAATGCCTTTGTACGTCAATGTTTGGCTGCTACTGGTGCAAGAAGAATATGCTGGATTGGGACAACAAGAAACCAACAACGTTGCCACTTCAGAAGATCTCTGATATGGTAGAAATGGGGAAAGAAGCTGAACGTGTGCTTGGAAAATGCCCTGACAAGTCATCTGCAGCATATACAAAGTTTCAGCAGACCCATTTTGGTCAGACCGTAAGTACTGTAAATGTTAACATTTGAATTACTCAAAATTTATTTTCTTCATTCTTTTTCATATTGTGCTGGAAATTTTAAATTAACACAACCGCTGCGGCTGTCTCTGGCTGCTTGATAGTTAAAATATATGTCTCACTCATCCTCATCTTAGGATGAGTGAGACATATATTTTAACTATATATCAAGCAGCCAGAGACAGATTTTTAGATTTTGCTCGGGCCAGGAGGACAAAATTCAGGGTGTGTGTGCCAAAAGTGCATACTGTACTACTGTCATTTAAACTATGTATTTAAATTTCTGCCTCCCTCCCCCCAGAGAAAAGTACCCAATCTCACACTGTTCATTGTGCTATCTTGTTCCTGAATATCATTCTATTGTATTGAAGCAATGCCTGGCACAAGATGGTACAATGGCCATTCCGAGCCTTGAGAAAAGTAGCATGATCGCCATTATAATGTCTCAGAATGTAGTGAAAGATCAAAAGTACAGTAACTATAACATCTTCAGTGGCACCGCCAGCTCGATAACACATTCATATACTCGTGTTCTGCATTATTAATTTCTTTTGAGATCTATTGTTTTTAAGGTCTGTGAACACGAACATATGAATATTGACCCCCTCCCCCCCCAAATTATCGAGCTGGCGGATTGAACATCTCACAGGTTTTCTGGCATCCTTGCGATAACAGAAATCTCATACTGTGTATTTTTGTAAAACTAGTCATGCCTGTATTGTGTACTGTAGTTAATTATTCTGCCAGTTACTGTACTTTTAAATTTATCAGCAATGGTCTTCATAATTATTTTTACAGGGGTTACCTCTGTTTACCGCATTCAGTGAGAGCTGCCTCCTACCATGTGGTCTGCATTTAATACTAGCTGTTCATAGATATCTGTGGAGGATGCTCTTTGAAATACTTTCAAAAAGGGGGCAAGAATCTCAAATTCCTGTCGCACTAAGAGCAATAAACTGTGGGTACCTTGCATATCAGATTGAAAGTTACCAGAAAAGGTGAGGTGTTAAAACTAGTGTAATTAATACTTAGACTATATCATGTAATACTGCATTACGGTACTGTTTGTAAGCCCTGGGTTTATGGACCAATTTCATGGCTGCCATTTTAAATAATCTTTTATATTAAACAGGAGTTAAAAAAATATTGTGGCTTTTTCCCACTTAAGCTTGTTGTCGCAACAAGTTATATTTGAAGGGGTACGTGTAACAAAGTGTTGTTTTACATTCTTCAATAAACACTTATTGCATACAATCAAATATTTTCAGTAAACACAAGTACTATGATGGAAGCAGCACCTTAAAGATGGTTGGTCATGACTGCAAAATGCTTGAAGAAAATTGCACAAAATTTATCAATCACTTCTTGAAGGTAAAAATTCCAAGATTGCTTGCATTTATTTCAGGTCTGGCTTGGTTTTTAAACGCCCAAGCCTGTTCATGAGTTCATCTCTGTGGAAAGTTATACAATAGATTAAAATTACTGTACACAGTTTTCTTTTTGCAACAATATGAAAACTTATTTCATGACTGTTTTAAAATAAATTTCAGCAGACCGAGTCTTGGGACGATAACAGTTTCCTGAAGATGAGACAACTTCACCATTTATATGAAAAGTTTAATGATCTAGCCAGGTATAAGCTGAGACGCTTATGTGAAGGATTACTTGTAAATGTTATACTAGTGTTAATTCGGATTTAAAGATGCGGTAAAGTCCGTTCTGCGCATCAAAACATTCCATCAGTGGGGGAGCAACCTTTGGAATGTTGTTAATATTTCACACCTTCCAAACTTTCTTTAATTGAATCTCTAGTCTGTATTCATTTACAAGCATAACGAACCAGAAAAGTGTTAAAAATTCAGTATAATATATATCTAATCATATTTTACAACTGTAGCACTGAGTACAAAATGTAAACAAAGCGTTTGTTTACATTACGGACTTTATCATGTAAAGTCCGTAATGTAAACAAACGCTTTGTTTACATGGTGATCTTTAATTAAAATGCAATGTTTATTTAACATTTTCCGTGTTGATATACAGTTATATCGACACAGTGGAAATTGGGAAAACAAGAGATTGTGTGGAAACACGACGCCTGGGGAGGGGGGAGTGTTTTCACACAATTTCGAGTTTTTCCAATATCCACAAGTTATATATTTTTTATAATATAGCACGAATAAATATAAAGAAAGAAATTTTCCGTGATGACATTGAGTTATATCAACACAGCTCTTAGCCAATCAGCGTTCAGAATTTGCAAATGCTATATTATAAATCTAGATATCAACCTTGCACTTTTAATTTAGTTTCAGGTTGATCTCTAGATAGCAATTTAATTGCATTTGAATTGTCCATTGTGGGGGATATAGTATACTGAATTTATAACACCTGTCTTTTGATACCATCTTACCCTTAGGGACCTGCGTGATCATAACTCGACAGCTGCCAGATGTGACTCATTCCAGGCCAGGTCCGAAAACTTCTTTCAGAAGATGAAGCAGTATGGGCCTGCACAATGTACAGCAAAGCTACCATATCTTCATATTATGAGAGATCACATTGGAAGGCAAATGAAGTTTTGGTTTGAAATGCTGGGTTGGGGCTATGGGTACTTTTCATGTGTTGCATCAGAACACCTTAACAAGATGGTAAAGACCATGGAGTGGGGTTGCACAAACCGTGATGAAAGGAGGTTCTTATACATAATGAAGATGTTCCGTACCCAACATTTCCACTATCCTGAAAATGTGTTTACGCCAACTCGGGATGTCACATGTTCTGCATGTCATCAAAAAGGTCACACAAAGAAGAACAAGGCTTGCCCTATGCACCCTTCCCAACCAGTGATCCAATTTGACAAGTCTGATGATGAAGACAGCTAACTCTACCCTTGATTAATTGAAATGAAGTCGTCTGGATTTATTTCGGCAGAGTAGAATGCTAAAGTAGGGAGCATTGTGTGTTAAAGGGTTACAGGATCCATTTGAATTTAGTATGGTTAACAAGAAGCATTGGCAGATGCATTTAGCATAGTTAGCAAGATGCATTGGCGGATAGATTAGTTAACCATTTAACACACAAAGCACTTTCCTTGCCGAGTAAAATCACCTGGCATTAGACAGAGTGACATTCTAAAGTGGCTAGAGGGTGCATGTCAGCACATTGCATATTTTTTAAAGGTTAAAAACAGATGAATCATAGTTTATGTTGTATATTTATAATTCAGGGCCCAAAATAATGGCTGGAGGGTCGCCGGTCAACGTGTTCGGCCAACTCAATTTTAGCTCGGACATACCAAATTTCTGGCCGGTCAAATTATTCAGCTTAAAGCAAAGCCCGTAAAGTATATCCCTAAAAATGTGACTATTTCCCAGACAACATGTTATGGTTCTTAACAGTGGCGTAGCCAGCCTGACTATTTGCTCCTGCTATGCAAATATTTCTGTGTTCATAGACTGTAAAAACAATGACTTTCTAAGGAAATAAATAATGATAATGCTTTGAAATTTACATAGCAAGAGTAAATTTTCAGGCTGGCTACGCTACTGTTTCTTAATTATAAAACTTGACAACTTTATTTTGATTATAAATTCAAATGAATATCAGTTTGTTCTTTTACGGAAAGTGACCGGTCAAAATGACCGGCAAGGTAAGAATTTTACTGGACAACTCAGCATTCTGGCTGGACATTGTCCATTGACCGGCCGTTATTTCGTGCCCTGATATTTGTATTGTATATAAAAGTATTATTTATTATAAAAAACTTTAACATTTCATTTAGTTTGACTAAGTTCACTGATTCTTCATAGTGTTTATGCACTGGCCAATCATTTGAAATCCCCCAAACCCCCAACTTGGGCATACATACCAGGGGAATTCACTAAGCTATGACACCAACTCTTCAACAGGAATAGCAATATCATGTGTCATAATGCCACATTTATTAAAAGCAGCATTAAAAAATGTTATCTGTAATTCACCTTGCTGTAGAGTAACATCTTCTTTGTGATATCTTAAGGATACCCTTCTCACATATTTTAGTTTTGTTGCGGGCAAAGAAACTTCTTGCGATATTATTTGCAGTGGCCTTTTTATGAAGAAGATGCACCTTCGGGCATTAAAATTTAGTGACCTGTCCAGTCTAACAAGGTCTTTAGTACCGCTAGGATCAAACATATCTCTGACAACAGAAATTACATAAAATATCATGTTACGAATGACCAAAGTATCCCCTGGTAATATAACATCACATGCCGAGTACACAAAGTCATATCCCTTCTCAACTTTTAATGTGCCTGACCCTTTGTATTGAGGGTGTTGTAATGTATCACCATCAACTTCAATAGTGCGAAGAGCAAAGTTATCTGGTAAGGTATCATCTTCACCCGGATTTGACCCACCATAAGGTATCAAACATTTCATATTGTCCCCTTTATGTTCAATAGAAAGAACAAGCTGGCCCATCGAGATTTCAATTGAGGTACCCTGAGGTAATTCATAAACAAAATTCTCTACGACAGCATAAAATGGAATAATAATCGTAAAATCCCCAGAGTTGAATCTCCTTACCAAATTATCCTTTCCAAAAATGTTACATAAGCGACGTAGAGTTTGTACTTCACAGATATAAAGCGGGTATCTCTCCAATACTTCATTGTCCGAGAACCTGGAAGCCAGTGACTTCAAGAATACAAGTTTGGAAACCTCCAAAGAAATTACTTTCTGCTGCGGACTCTCTGAAGTCACACGAAAAAGATTGCCGTCTTTTAACTTTCGGATAAATTTCCCCTCAAAAAATCGTACTTGATTTCGGTAGAAGTCTTCTAGTTGCTTTAAGGAAGGACAAATTTCCAGTTTATTTCCCAAAGGGGAAGTACACTCGCCCGCCATTAAACAATATAAGGCCATAAAGCGCATGCGTACAACGAACTACGCTGTGCAGTAAGTACATGCGCCTGCAATAAGGCCACAAAGGTTATCGGTCTAGCAAGTGAGCTTCAGAATCGCAGTGCTATTTCCCAGAAGAAGATTGAATAAGCAGTTTCCGGGTTCGGTTGTTTCCAGCATCAAAACCGGTTATAAAACCAGTATCACATCTGAAATTTGCTCACAGGACACTCTTGAGGTTGACCCCCACTGAATTCACTGTGTAATGCTTATGTGACTAACCTATTCCCCATAAGCTATATAACTGGCACCAGTTTTAAATTAAGCCATTTAGCTTTATGCTGCAGTTAAGTAAAAATAAATAACGCCTTCACACATTCTGTAAATGACTGAGCATAGATTTCATGCACTAAATATGTAGTTTCAAACATAATTCTTCTATCTGTGTTAAAGTATTTTAGTTTGGTTGTTCCATGAATGTATAGACTTGATCGATATCTTCAACTTATCCACCATTTAAGCTAAATGGGCTTGGTTTATTTATAAATATACCAAATATAGGCTACATGTATTTGTATACTAATTTGTGCAATGATGTACATGATGTACGTACAGTATGTAGAAACTGTAACAAATTCTGATTTAGATATCATGTCAGCTGCTCAGTATAAAAAAGTGTCAATTATTTTATGCTTTATGTTTCTTCCAATATTCAATATTAAAATGTCTAGATTAATTAAAGGTTTAATCAACAAGTTGCAAATAATCAGCTCCAATGTTTACCCACAGTTCAAAACATATCAATTTAATCTGAACATGCAATGATGAGATCCAGTGGTGGAAATCCACTTTTTTCGGTGGGGAGGTTGGCGAAACCTTCTAAATTCCGAAAATTCGTCATTTTTCACGGGGGGGGGGGAGGACATCCCACCAAGATTTCTGCCACTGATGAGATGTATGACATTATATTGTAATTGAACAGTTAAGAAAATATATATGATCAAGTGACTGTCTGGACTAAACTAATGCACCGGTCGAGAAATAAATTATGTGCAGCCACGATAATTAACATTATCAGGATAGTACACGACCTCACTGCATCTATTCTAACATTGGTTTAGAAATGTGTCTCTTTTATATGTGTACAGAATCGGATATTTCTGAAAACCGTGGAGCAAATTACTCTCTTGCCGACTTGTATAATGATGGTGAGCGGCTATTTGAAGAAACTGTAAAGGAGATCGAAGCAGATCCATTCAACAAAATTAAAGGATCTCGACATGGTCCTCAACTAGTTTCGATAGCCGAGCTTTTGTTACAAAATCGAACTCTTTGTGATGCCAAAAAGTTCCGCACAATCCTAGAGAAAATTTGGAAAGCAGCCACGTCTGGAGATTTAAGAAAATTTCCATCAGATCAACGCGACAAAATGTGGCAAGCATTTCACAACCTTTGTTCTAGCCCGGAATTTATCAAGGAATTTAATTCTTATCTTTGTCCAGCTCTACTGCAGCAACCTTGTTGCACTCTTTTCATCCAAACTTTATTGCGAAAATTGTTTGAAAGAATTATACATAGAAAGTCTTCCATATCACCAAACTCAGCCACCGAAGATATTTCCGAGGAAACGAATATTGAAGAGAATATCCTAAGATATGCCGCCGGTTTTGTGCCATTCTCTTTGAAAAGACAATGTGTGAAGAGACAACCTAAGGATGTAACATGGGCTGAGAAAATTAAGTGCCTGAGTGCCATTGGAGTTAGTAATGATGTTGGTAGCTCGCCGAGTTTTCTTGAATATACTAAATGCTGGGTAGAAAAACAAAATAGAGGAGGTTTATTTCTGCTCAACAATAACGGGTACTTATTTTTTAGAGCAGTAGAATGCCATTGCAAATTCTTTTTTCGAAAATCTCGCATTAGAACTGTTTCGTCAGATATCAGACAACCTGTTTTAAATGCGGTATCTAAAGATAAAGTTGCAATGGAATATTGGACGCAAGCAACTGCAGGACGAGATACATCAGTATCCGCTCAGGTAATGCAGATGTGCATAAAACTGTGGCTAAACATTCGAGCTCGTGCGTTTGCAGCCAATTGGATTGAACAATATAAGCACATTGAAACTAAAGAAGCAGCGAAAAAGAAGGCTCTACGTAAAGGGCTTAAAAATATAAAAAATATAACCTCGTGACAAGACTGCGTATACGCGGCAAGTCATTGACAAGAAATCTAAATATATTCTACGATTTGTTGTAAGAAAGCCAAAGCATTTTATATGTTTCTTCAATGCGCACACCATGCTTTGTGTTCCCTCTGACTGGAGCAAGAGCTTGTGATTGTAAACCAAGTAGACGCAGAGTACTTTCGTTAAAATTGAACTGTGCAACAGTAGAGTTATCATTACCACCTTTCATCTGACGATGTTTGCCAAAGTGGGATTGTAGTGGATCCTGGTTTAAACGTTCACTCAAAACAAATTTTAGCCCTGGACGACTTGGTAGGTATTGCACCAGTTCCACAAATGAGCTTACTGTAAAATATAGAATCGCATTTAATTTAGCTGTGGTCCCATTTCCGCCAAGGGGGAGGAATAACTGACTTAGACTTTACCTGCACCATATATGGAATTCTTATTTCCTTTTTCTTTTCGGCAGTGGCTTGTCTTCAATGACCTCTCGGATACAAACACCATGTTTTGTGTTCCCTGTAACAGGAGCAAGTGCTTGTGATCCGAGAAGACGCAGTGCACTTTCATTGTGGTTAAACTGTGCCACTGTCGGGTTATCATTGCCTCCTTTCATTTGCCTGTGTTTTCCGAAGTGAGATTCAATCGGGTCCTGGTTAAACCGTTCGCTGAGAATGAATCTAATCCCAGGATAGCTAAGCAGGTACTTCACTATTTCCACAAATGAATAAACTGCAAAAAGAAATTATGCATGGTATTGTTTTACATCATTATTTTAAAATGAAAGAGAGTTGTACTCTGGTTCCAAAGGCTCTTTGCGAGGCGAAAGAAACGAGTGGCGAGAAGGAAGAGCCTCTGGTCACATCGGTTGCAAATCCCACTTCCACACTTGATTAGGTTCAGAATTTGAATTTCGCATGTGATTGGCCATTTGTACAAATTATGTCAAACCGGTTTGGGTATAAATAGCTATAATTAGCTCACAGTAATGTTTATTTCCCAAACCGGTTTGACATATTTTTAAAATGGCCAATTACATGCGAGATTCAAATTCTGAACCTAATCAAGTGTGGAAGTGGGATTTGCAACCGATGTGACCAGAGGCTCTTCTTTCTCGCCTATTGTTTTTTTCGCCTTGCAAAAAGCCTCTGGAACCAGGGTAAGAGAAATTTCTACCTGTCATTTTTAACCCTTCAGTTGTTTGTTGGCTTAGTTTCATTTTCAGCTTCTGCTTTGGAGGAATTTCCGACAAAGCATCTACTGAATTAGACCAGGTGTCAAGATAACCAAGAAACTCGTCTTTCAACCACTATTAATATGTAGAAAAATCACTGAGTTATGTTCGTGGTTTGTTTTCTTAAAGCATGTGTTAAGTATACGAACATTTGAAGATTATTAGATTACTAGTTTACAGTATGTTTTTACCGTCAAACGAGGATCTTCTGGTGATCTGTATGGAGCGATTCCAGATTTCTTCCTTCGTGTTGCTTCTGTCAATGATCGCGTGTTTAAGCAGTCAAGGAACGTGTCAAACATTCGCACGAACTTAACTGTTCCTTTAACTCGTTCACTGTAAAACATATCCAGTGCATTCGCGACAGAGGAGCTCAATACCTAAGATTAAAAATTTTGCAAACATTTACTACATTGGACCATTGGACATTTAACATTTAGTATACTAGTATCCCAAACGTGGCGGGTTCAATTCCCACCGTGGTTATAGGCAAACTTTTCAGCTTGCCCGGTGTGGATGCACACTCAGCGTAACATCAAAAGCATAACATTGGAAAAATCAACAACATCAAAATAACACACAAACCTGAGCAGCAAGATATACTTTCATCCGTGAATAAGGTGTCAAATATATATGATCGTTCTTAAGCTTTGGTATTAATTTCAGTCCTTGACGATTCAAATCATCTTTGTAAAGATTCTCAAGGTGTATCCAAGATATATCATATCCACTGTTCTAAAAATTATATGGAAATAATTATAATCATTATGCGGAATACCTGAAACATGTCTTCTGGCTTGTCTATATATTAACATACTAACTCGTTTTATTACTGTATTTTTAAGAGCGCATTCGCAGTGGCATGTTGTTTTTTCAATGGAATTTTTTTACCAAAGTGATAAGCTCTCATGCATTTTATATTTTATACTTACCCAACAATAGACGTGTCTTTTTATTCCACCCACTATTCTCCCAATTATTTCTCACAGTTTTGATTAGGTAAGGGGCATCTGCTACAAAAAATAGATCCCTTTCATCCGCACTGTAAAGATTCTTTGTCTTGTACACAACCGTTTCCTCTGAGGATTTGGGTGGGGATTTCATTGAGGTTTTGGGTGGGGATTTGGGTGACCTGTGGATCTTCACAAATTTTCTGTTCGTCAACGCACCATCACTTGTACTTGCTATTACCTTAAGATACGATACAACACGATCAGATACGATACGATTAAATAAATTATCTTAACACGACAGGAGCTGGAAAAGCTCGTACAAAATACGACCGTGCAAAATAGTAAATCTAAATAATCTAATCATATAGTCACTATATGTGGTATTTGCTACATCTCAAAAGTCAAAAGAGATACCTTTAATCCAAGTGTTTCCAAGTGTCTTACTCCATCCCAAAAAAGCGGGTAAATTTGATCAGCTGATATGCAACTGCTGCAAGGAAAATGTGCCAATGGGTACTCTAAACTGATGGAAACTCCCCTGACCATGAAGGAAAGCATGTATGTTGCAATATCAGGTGTGCAGTTGGAAACCTCAATCTGGCACTGCTTCTCGAAATCAACCAAGGCATTGTTAACATCTCCTAAATTTGCGAAACCGATAAGTTCCCCCGTGTGTTTGCAATAAACTAGGTCACTTTTGATTTTGACTTCGTCGTGTAGTAACACCACAAACTTCTGCCACTCTTCCAGATCACTATATCTTGCCTCCTCAAGAAGACGCTCAAATGACGATGGTTGGAACCCGGAGGTCATTTTGGTCCAATGTGTGTAGTCACGCAACGTTCTCTCGCTAGGTAGCTTAAGAAATCCAGAATTCCTCATGGCTGTATAGGCAGACGTTGATCGAAGTTTGACATTTAAACACCACTTTATCATAAGGGGATGCCATCTTATCTGCCTAGAATCCTTACAAGATAGAGCCTGCATTTGTTGCTGCCAGAAAAACCTTAATAATAAATATACTTTGTGTTTTCACAAAGCCAACATATATCACCATGCAATACCAGTAGCGAAGCCAGCCGACAATTTGGTCATGCTATGCAAATTTGAAATCATTATCCATGTTTGTTTGGTAGCTTTCAATTCCTTGTGCAAATTTTTAATCTTTTCATCTTTCTCTTCCGGAGAAAGGTATCTGTAGTTGACATGACTGTCGACAACAGTTCGCTGATTCGTATCTGCTTTTGCTTGCCTACTCTTGATCACTCGCAAATAATTCCTTTGCTTAACGCATTCATTGCACCGATCTTTCTTGCGAGTCAACAAGGAACATTGATCCGAACGAATGGTACTATTATAACAAGAACCGTCTTGCATTTCCACTTCAAAACTCATTTCTCTGGATTGCTTATGGCGTACGTCAATATCAGGGTTTCCGCAACAAATCGTACTAGAATGGACTACATTCACTAATCCCAGTAAGTCATCTTTAGTTCGAATATTTTTAAACTTTTTTAAACTTTCACATCCAGGCGTGTCGAAATTTGTGAAAATTCTATCGAGAACTTTGAGTGACCATGATGTATTGTTATTTACAGTTATAGATTTACTTATCATCGGATTCTTGGTGCAATCTTGTTTGCTCTCTTGCAAATGCACGATTTTAATAGATTCACCGCCTGTTTTTATCAATGTCCATCCAAAGGGAAGACTATCAGTACTAACTGATTTTAGTAAATCTGCAAATGCAGTTGTCGAGTTTCTGTTTATTTGAATGGTAGAGAGTGGTTCACGTCTGGAATTGTCTCTAGTAATTGTACTGCTGGTGTTCATCTCTCTCACTGCATCTTTCAATGCTGTTTCACAATCCAAACTTTCCTAAACGTCATCAGAAATATAGTAATGAGAAATCCACGGGTTTCAACCAAGGCATATTTTAAGTAATAGAATAGTGGGGCATTTGGCCACCCACCATTGAAAGAGTATTAGCCCACCACTGATTGGCTTAATACTGTATTTTGCCCACCACTGTAATTTCCTTAAAATATGACTTGGTTTCAGCATCAAACCATTTTCTTATTTTTTGAACTTGCAGCGCAGTTCAGGAAGTTCTGTCGCGCCAGTAGATGGCAGCATAGACAATCCAGAAGACATGTCTTCTGGATTGTCTATGATGGCAGTCGCGTACAATTGTATGAAAACTATAATCGCAAAATTCCTATCGTTTGCTGAATATATTTGTGGGAAATGGTTTGTTTGACGTGAAGCACCAGCGAAATTGTTTGTACTACATTATCAAAATAAAAATTCTCCCTACCAAACAATGTCACGGTCATAAGTCACATGATCATGTGCATGTGGAATGCCGTGCAGTTCTTATAAAGTTCTAAAGTAAAAAACATGGTTGCTTGGCATGGCCCATTTTATACGAAACAAAATGTGTGCACAAACTTTTACGTGAGGTAAAGCAAGATTTAATAACGATTTACGGACATCGTAACATTTCAAGAGTTGTAGCTGTTCGATTGGAAAGCATTTTATTCAAGAGATGGAAGCAATTGATGAGGGTAGATATACAGAAGGTATATAGTTTAGTTTACAGTTCTTGTTGGGTCAAAATTTAGAGACAGACTATTTTAATATTTTAGGTATGATTTAATGTAGTATTTACCTTTCTGGCCTTCTCTAGTTTGTTTAGTTTTCGTTTTGTACTTTCCTTTTTCATTGTTTTAAGCTGCTGCTTTTTCAATCTCGAAAATCCTCTTTTGTATGGCATCTATCAGTAAAAAAACTTTTTATTAAACAGTTCATTATTGACATTGGCGATTTTTAGCTTTAATATCAAATGACTTAAAGAAGTTTTGAAAGTGACAAGTACACATCCCGTTAAACTATATATAAGATGATGTTCTGAAACTTGTTTAAAAAGTTTATATACGGGGTTTCAAGTAGGTGCATACTACAATATTGGATATAAAAATATAGGCACATATACGAGAACAATGGCGACATTTTTTGGTCAAAATTAGTGCAGTTATTGGCAATTTTCAACAACGAACATTGATAAAAGCAGTAAGTGCACAGCCCATTGTTTTCTTGTTTATTAAAATATATAAAAATGATGCTTTGAAAATCGCTTCAAGTGAAATTATAGGGTTCCAACTAGGCACATACTACGAGAACAACAATGGCGACATTTTTCAGTCAAAAATACTATGCACGAAGTTAATGGTGATTTTCAGCTTTATTAAAGCAAAAAGAACATTAAAAAAGCAACAAATGCACAGTCCATTGTTTTCTGGTTCAAAATATATAAAAATGATGCTTTGAAAATCGCTTCAAGTGAAATTATAGGGTTCCAACTAGGCACATACTACGAGAACAACAATGGCGACATTTTTCAGTCAAAAATACTACGCACGAAGTTAATGGTGATTTTTAGCTTTATTAAAGCAAAAAGAACATTAAAAAAGCAACAAATGCACAGTCCATTGTTTTCTGGTTCAAAATATATAAAAATAATGCTTTCAAAATGGCTTCAAGTGAAGTTATAGGGTTCCAACTAGGCACATACTACGAGAACAACAATGGCGACATTTTTCAGTCAAAAATACTACGCACGAAGTTAATGGTGATTTCAAGCTTCACTAAAGCAAAAAAAATTGGAAAAAGCGATAAATGCACAGCCCGTATTATTTTCCTTTAAACCATCTACACAAAATGTCTTGTAATTTGCTAAAATTATAGTTACATGTTACAAAGTGAGGGTATAGACGTAGCCATCAATTTTGTAGTCACTGTGAAAAAACCTTGTTTATGCTGGACTCACACATCACACGTAGTTGTAACTGCTCTAATGCACCCTCGATTAATTTTAGATGATAATGGCATGTTTCAAATGACAATTTGTAGCTTCATTCTCCAGATATAGGGTTCCCAGCAACTTCCTAATTTTACGTGCGACATTTTTGATTACATGCTTCGACAAAACTGGAATTAAATGACCTCTATATAGAATTAAAATTAAAAATGAAAACGTACTTACCTTGACAATAACTCTGTCTTAAAGATAAACTAAAAATAGAATATATAAATGACTTTTTATCCACAAAATAAACAAAAATAACGGAGGATTCGCATTGTGCTTTTCCTGAAAAAAAGACCACGGTTGCGCGGCAACCCCATGCATTGACGTGCTTAAAGCCATATCACGGATGGCACGTAGCATCATAGGCGCTTTCGCTTGCGTTTCCAGTCCCTGTCTTCTGGATTGTCTATGGTTAAACACACCTTAAGCTGTGTTACAAAACACGCCAAAAGCTGTGTTAAACACACCTTAAGGTGTGTTTTAAAACCCACCTTAAGGTGTGTTAAAATTTGGACAAAAAGGTGTGTTAAATTAACACACCTTTTTTTAGAGTGTATAATGAAGCAAATGCGGCATAGAGACTATCTTAAAAAGAAAGCTGTTCAGACAGGCTCTTCCAGCATCCACCAAGGATATATGAACAGGCAAGAAATGCTCTTACTAAAAAGATCAAATCAACTAAAACGCGATATTATTTCAAATCTTTCAAAGACACTTCCAGAAATCCGAAAGAAATATGGAAAACGATTAACAAAGTACTTAATAAAAAATCCAAGACAACAGATATAGAACTGATTATAAATGATACACAACTATTACCAATGCGCAGGATATAGTAAACACCCTTAATGACCATTTTTCGAAAATTGGTCCTAAAACTTAGCTAAAAATATCCCAAACTCATCAACACCCGCCAATAGCTATATATCTACACAAAGCACTGAATGTCGAAAATCGGGAATATGTGTCGAAAATCGGGAATCCAAAAAAATCCCTTTGAAATTTCGTTTATCATTAGTTCAAATTAATTTCTCACGCAAGCTGGGTTAATTTTGAACTTGCTTGACAAAAAATCAAATGGAAATACGGCAAATAAAGAAAGAAATCGATATACGGCCGGCGTCATATTTAGACGAGAATGCAGGAAATACAGAGAAATATTATTTAGGAGTAAAGTGCACCAAGATCTGCTGTTCAACCACATCCGACATGACGTCTTTTATCTTCTGATTTGTTTCGAATTACATTCTGAAGAAATTTGATCCGCTGAAACATGAAACGGTATTTTTGACCATCACTCAAGGACAGGAGGGAGAATCAGAAAGCCAGTTTAATGTTAAAAATAAGGAAGTGCCGGAAAATATGGCTAATATGTTTAGTTTATCTAATAATGAGAATTATGAACTCAGAAGCAACGGCGTTAATTTTCAACTTGATAAACTTAAAACAAATTTCGTATAAAAAAGCATTATAGCTACTCAGGAGCAAAATGTTGGAATGATTTGCCAGATGAAGTTAAGGCAAGAGAAGTGTTATTAAGACAATTTATGTATGATGGTGCTAAGCTCTGGAACTCTATTCCAAATGAAATTAGAGAGAGCAAATCCCTATCATATATCATAAAAAAGCATTATAGCTACTCAGGAGCAAAATGTTGGAATGATTTGCCAGATGAAGTTAAGGCAAGAGAAGTGTTATTAAGACAATTTATGTATGATGGTGCTAAGCTCTGGAACTCTATTCCAAATGAAATTAGAGAGAGCAAGTCCCTATCATGCTTCCAAAAGAAAATTGCCGCTCACATTTTTAATTAGACAACAAATGTTGTCATGTACAATGTAAATAGATTGTTATATTCCCATTACTTACTTTAATACCTGCATGCCTAATACTAATTCTAATACTCTGTAAATAATTTTCTAAAGTTTATACTTCTGTAATGTCTTTTATACACGCCCCCTGTGGAAATCAGCTTCGGTTGACGGGGTTAGCGTGGTTAAATAAAGTTTATCTATCTATCTATCTACCTATCAATTCAAAACGTTTCTCAGAGAAAACGACAACACTAATTAGATCTATGTAGTTAAATACCATCCGCATGCGATTCTAGAATAGTGTGATAATTTTATAACCGGTGTGAATATATATATAGTTTAGTTTAATCATTATAGTAATTAGTTATGTGTAAATATGAGTTTCAAACGGCCTCTTGGAAAACAGATCATAGATATTCTGAAGGGCCACCGTTCTAAAATATTTGTAAATAAATAAATAAAGGAAAACAAGGATTTTTGCCAAACGAGAATGCAATTTGCGAGAACTTGGTTACACAATGAGGTTTTTATCAGTGTTATGAAAGAGTTTTCCCCCTATCAGAAGATTTTAAGAGGAAATTTTTTTCCATGTCGCGTATTTGCAATGAAAAGTTTTCAAAACCTAAAATATATTTGGCGTTTCTCTCAAAACAAGACGCCTGCTCAAGCGTTCACACTGGCCTGAAAGTGGCAACTTTCGTGGTAGGGTGTAATGTGTAGATAGGGATACAGGAGGTCTGGACCATATAAATACAACCAATAAATACAATCATGATCAGCAACTATCAAGTATAATATACAAAGACGCCGGCTCAGGCGTACCCTCTGGCGGGCAACTCAACCTGACAAGCCAGGCCCACTGAAACTATGATCATCAACTATCAACCGTAAATAATGATGGGCCAATAATAGCAAAGAAATTATATAGTCCTTGATTTTTTATGCCATTTTGAAACTGAACTGAATATGTCACTGGAGCACTCTATCCTCGGAGTTCGGCCATTGTGCGCGTGCGTACAAGTGTATACGCTAATAAACGAAGAATGTACCACAAGCATGGCATGAGTTGGCTATTACGTACATAAATACAAACTTGTTACTATAGTATATAAATCATGGAACCGAGGAATCGATGGCATTTTGGCTTAATCGTTGCACCCTGAGCCTGCGATGAGCTAACGCAAGCTCGAATTCTCGACTACGAAAAAAAACCAGAAAAAGAGGGATTTAAGACACTTGGCCTACAGGCCAGTGTAATTAGTTTGTTTTAGGTTTTTAGCTTTATTTTGTAGTTTACAGAGTTAGCAACATTTTTAAATGTCTCTAGAAAACAGCAGATGTGCCAGCTGTTCCGACTTGAGGCCAATAACCTTAACATCAATATTGTCTAAAATTGTCAAAAAAAACCCGACTCTTGCGCTTATTTGTCACATAGCTGGCTAGCTGCATTAGATGGGACAAGCTTTACAGTAAGAGTCGCTTTACTTGACTGTCGCAAAACCTTCCACCTAGTCGATCATAACGTCTCAAGATCATCAGTGCATCAATTTGGCAGCCACTTTGATGTTAAAACGTCTAACTAGAAATATATCCATGCAGAAACCGCTCGCTCCTTTCTTAAGAGATGAATTATAAGTTCTTTGTATGTTTGCATGGTGATAAAATATAATAGGTTTTGTTTGTGGAAACACCACGTAAATTTATTACTGCAGTAATAAATTTACGTGGTGTTTCCACAAACAAAACCTATTAGATGAATTATAGTCTATAATTCCAAAACATTGCTTCTTCAACACGAGGTATTTCATGATATGAATAGTGGTTGCCATGGTAACATCATGAAAGGCATTTCATTAATTGCAGAATCATTAATTTTCAAAATCTAGAATGCACTTTTATGTTATTGAACATAGACCATTCAATATAGGCTTCAATTTAACGTAACGGTAAAACGTTTCGAAATTTTGCCGTGAAACCGCCGGGTAAATAAAAAACATGCCAATAAATAATTTTCTCCAAAATACGGTGAAATATATTTGCTTAGGCACAAGCTTTTACATTTGTTGTAGGTGAAAAGCTATACTATAAACAAACATAATAGCACAATGCGCTGGATAAATTGTCCCAAATGAACACTATAAATAATCACTACAATTTCATGTAATTATATATACCAGCTCGCCATAAACATATATAGCATATTATTGAGTTAAGAATGGCTTAAAAATTTCGCAGATATGACTGAAATCGACGACACGAAGCAAGCCGGGAATGGAATCAGTGGTGGAAATTCACTTTTTCTGGGGGGGGGGCGAAGTCTTCTAAATTTCCGACAAATCTTTGAAATTTCCAACAACAACCCCCCCCCCCATTTGCACTCGAAAAGGCTGTTTTTAGCCCTTTTATATGTCAAAATTTCCGAAAATTCGTCATTTTCCACGAAGGTGGGGGGGGGGGGGCGGCCGCTCCCCGGACCCACCGAGATTTCCGCCACTGTATGGAATGTTACTACTGAAATGGTTTAAATACCCTGTTGCCCAGACATAGCACTCGTTAAAAACATCACATTCGACTTCCACAAAATTCGTGTTAATACCTTTTTGTTTTTACAGTTTAACGAAAAAATCGTTTTGTTCATTCACTCATTCATTTTATTACAATTAATAGGGATACGTTCACAACGGCAGTTAGTTTCAGCAACAAAACAGAAGAGTCGAGTGGACCATCAGAGATTGCAAATGCATTTTTTGCGTTTGCCTTGTTTGTGGTACTCATTGGAAACCTGATAGGGAACTCCATGGTATTATATGTTGTGCATCACCAATGGAAGAACGTAAAACAGCGTGTAACCAACTCATTAATAGCTAATCTGGCTTGTGTCGACCTTTCGGTTGCCATTCTCATCCTTTTGGCGATAATTAAATCAATCGCGTTCAGGAATGTAGGCATCCCATATGCAAAATGTCAACTCAGTGGATTTTTGGGCACTGCTACTGGCTCTGCGTCACTTCTTTCTTTGGCTGTAATTGCAATCGACAGGTGAGACTAATTATTTCATTTTCAGTGTACACACATTAATTGTATAGTATCGGTTGTAGTAAATTTAGATAGCTATATGGATATAGATTCGTGGCTTGCTGTTTATGTGTCAGAATTAGGGTCAGCATTCATAAACAGCAAGACATTAATCTAATTTTTAAGGGACTGCAGTAATTGGAATCTAAGTGCCTATAGTAATGAATTACAGTAAAATTTATTTGAATCTAAGGGCCTATAGTAATGGCCTACCGTACAGCAATTAGTGTTAAACTGTTGTGGTGTCTCTGCCTTATGTGCATATATTTCATAAGTTAAATTGCTTGTAGTATTGGCGAAGCTAAATAAATAAATAAACCTATAACCAGCAGATACTCACAGAAACTGCTGTGGAAGAGAGAACTAATTGAAACATGAACAGCAGAGTCATTAACAAAACCATTATTTCTTGTAGGTACACAGCGATTGTTCTAAGTCGTAGGTTCGAATTGCGCACGGTTCGAATCATCATTGCCTGTATATGGACAACAGCGATTACTATGAGCCTTTTCCCGATCTTGTTTTGGGGGAAATATCACTACACGGAGAAAAGCACCGTTTGTAAACCTAAAGATGGTCGTTTTCTGCTATTTTTAGCAGTTGTTTGTTTTGTCATTCCCCTATTGACAATGGTATTTTGCTATGTTAATGTTTTCCTGAAAGTTCACCGACATAAAAAAATGATCATACAATCACGGGGAGACTGCAGATTCAATACAGAATTTAAGACCACCAAAATCGTTTTTACCGTGCTGGCAATATTCATCGTTCTTTGGACACCCTACACCGTTGTCTACGTGTCGTCATCGAACAGTCACAGTATGGACACCATCCCACCCAGCGTGTTCAAGTTCTGTGGATTTCTCACTGCAATGCATTCAATGTGCAACTCTATTATCTATTTTACAATGACCAAAAGCTTCCGAAAGATTGCTGTCAAGTTGCTGCGAAAAATCTTTTCATGCGTTCTCCCGGCGAACGAGGAATCGGCCGGAACAACAGAGTCGCTTTGTTGTGATAAAGCAAGCTGTTCTGCAAAAATAACTCCTCTACTAGACAGAAAGGTTTTGCCTGTGCAAGTTCTTCCGAGTCCAGCACCCGGAGATTCGATAATATAAATGAGTGACTCAATGCATTTAAGACTCTTATGGGAACTGCGATCGAGTTATACATTCAGAAATTAAAGACCTCGCGTTATTTCTAGAGTTCACAGAGAAGGGACTTCCTGCATCACAATGGCCTCAAGAACCTTAGTAAACGTATATATTGTACACTTTATTTAGACACGGATTCAGTACCATTATGACAAAATGAGCTGTACGTGTATGTAAAAAAATAGATTACATATAGGCTAGTAATAGGAAAAATATACTACAAAACTAAGAAGTGTTCTATAAAGCAAATTTACAGAGAGGAATCAATCTTTTATACCAAGAAGGATAAAGAGAATCTGTGATAAGATTTTGAAATTTATTGAATCACTCTTTCAAATACGGAAACTTAATTTTGATTGTTATTTCCCTTTAACACTCTTAATTAACAGTTTATATAAGAAAAGAAAGCAAAGTTGATGAATTCTAAAACTGGAAAAGCATGTCACGCGAATTCCGATAATATTATTACCATTCTGCAAATTTTCCCGAGTGTCGAATTCACCGGTCAAACTTTCAACTCATTTGATACACAAGGAAGAGCGGACTTTGAGATTTTGTACATAATAATGTATAACAATTCACGTACTGAGTTTAACATACACATGAATCCCACCACAGGATCAGTGTATGCAAATATTGGATGTTCATTTACTACTACGCGCGGATGGGTGGGGGCATTGATTTACTGGGAAACTTCCAAACCAAATAATGAAAAAGTTAGCACATGGATTTGTTCCAACTCTGCCTCTCAAAAACGTTTTTACTTAGTGATAAAGGGAAAAGTGGTTTTATATTTGGGAGTTATAAAGGCCGCACTTCATATGACTCCCATATAAAAACCTCTTTTTCCTCTTCAATTCCCAAACAAATACTCCTTTGGGTTTGAGAGGAAGACGCGTGGAGAAATTCTGCCAACAGAAATGAATTTTTTGTTGAGAAGTGAGGGAGATGGTAGGAGGCACGAATAATACATTTCCTCCTGTAAAACGGAAGGCTCAGATGATTTACCGTAACAGGGTTTTGACAAACACTGCAAGCTAACTGTGAGCATATGCAGCTGTTATGCCTATCAATGGTAAATGTTATATATTGAATATATTCTGTACATATAGTTAAAACGTTGAGAATAAATTGTTATCAATTTACAGAGCATTCACTGTCTTGCGGTTTATTCTTACAAATATTACAAAATCTAATAGTGATAAAAATAAACAATGCAATAGGTGCATGTAGTTAAACATTTTTATTTTTGCTGTTGAAAATAATGCACAAACCTTACAGTTTATTTACAGGTATCCTTGTTGACACATGTTGTTCCCCTCAACGAGTCACTGCTATATGTCTTTTTTTGCCGTATAACGGTTATAAGCTTTCAAGCATAATAATATACATAAAAATATTACTCGACTGCATGTGATTGGTTGATTTCAGTGCAGTTAATCTCAAACAACAGTGCAATTTTTTGTAATCACAGTGCAATTTTTTGTAATCACAGTGCAATTTTCTGTAATCACAGTGCAAAAATCTGTAACAAACTGATCTGACTGGTAGAAAAACAATGTGATAACAAAGTCAATCAGTTTAAAGCAGTGCTCAAGTGGCGGTCACAGATTGCTTCAAAACAAAACAAACATGGCGTCCCGCTACATAAAGTAAAAGTTGACTTCGGTTGGAAAATATGCCTTTCATCTTTCTTTTAGATGGAAAAGCCTTACCTTAAACAATTAAGACTAACAAAACTTACATAGTTGAGTGGAATTTTCAAGCTGTTAGCGTTGTATGTGATACAACAAATTAAGCCAGGAAAACTTTGCCAGTGGACGGTTCGCCATAAAGGTAAGTTAAAACTACAATTGTCTCGAACATTTTTAGGTATATTATATTAATACGTACATATAATACGATGGTTTCTCGTGAAATTTGGATAAAACAAGCTCTCGTGCATGAGTTTCTCAAAGACCTCAAATAGCATTCGTCTTTCGGACTAGTGCTATTTTGATGCTCTTTGAAAAACTCACTCGTGCATGTTTTATCCAAATTGCACTCAAAACCATCCTATTACCTATACTTATATTATACGGATAAGCGACAAGTAGCTATAGTGTTCTTGTCATCGTACATATAGCGTTTGGCACGTAACAATAGCGACAGAAATGCGCTGTAGGTGTGATATGCTACGGTCAGATTTTCCCCGAGATATATTTTTCCAGGGTGTACCTTTTTTAAAGTTATTAAAAACTAAAAAGTTATACTATTTTTTAATTGCTGATATTTTCAATTTTTCAAATTTACTAAATTATATTGATAAAACTTTATCGAGTTTTTATTTCATTTTGGATAATTAAGTTCGGGTTTTTCTCAAATTTCCGCCCGAAATACTGCCTGTATTTGCGAGTTTTACACCCATACTATATCATATCGTTCTGAAGTCGGCACAAGCCATTGCATGCATACCGTAGCATTTGTTTCATTCTGATTGGCTTGCTTGCTTCGTCTAACCGTAGCAAACCAATCATAGCGCTGTATTTGGAAATTTTTGCAGTGGTCAGATTGAAACTGACCGTTGCAAAAATTCGCAAATACGCCATGCTGATTGGTTTGCTACGGTCAGACGAAGCAAGCCAATCAGAATGAGGCAAAATGCTACTGTTTGCAATAGTCGCATCGACTTCAGAGCGATGCTGGCTTGTTATTGTCGTGTCGGCTCCTCGTTGTAACCGAATAGTTGATAAATTTTAATCGCCGCTCATTGCAAGGAGAAAGATATGGCTTCTCCAGATCCGCTCCACGACCTTCTGTGTATAATGAACGAATGTAACGTGTTTCATTTAATGAAAAGGCGCGCGAAAGAATTCTGATCGAATCACCTCCGTGTCAGGTCAGTCTCATGAATTTAAGTATATTAAATATGTAAATAACATATGGAATTGTTCAGTGGCGTAACGGGAGGGTGTCAGGGTGTCCAGTGACGGGGGCCCCCCGACAAAAAATGACCATAAAAAATTTGATAGCACATTTCTGGGGAATTGAATTACGAAAAACAGACAGATAGGCAGCTATCTGTTGTGGAGTTGCTTATTAATGTGATTATGTTATAATTTTGCGAAAAAACAAATAAACAATGCTACGTAGCCTGCAAGTCAAACAAAAACGTGCAAAGTCAAAGACCTTAAGCTTTATACGCCTTCCGACGCCGATAAAATAAAGTATTTCGCATTTCGTACTAGTACCGCTGAATTAACGGTTTGTAGTCTCTTCTTGCAAGCGATGGCGCCGTCGACAAAACATCAAAAAAGGTAATTAAATGATTTATGATATTGAGATGTAATCCTTTGTAATCCGCATGCATATCGTTTTTGCTTAGGCCAAAATTAGCATATAAACCTTTCTTGTATAAGCAGTAATAATTTATTAGCGTGAATATAAATCAATTCTTCATACAATTATAAAGGTAAATACTGGAAGTTACGTTCGCAAGGGAAGTTCAAGTGCTGCCTTGACTCGACCTACAGCAGTACAGTGCCACAGTGAGAGTGCACCCTTGCCATGTTCACAAATGTTGTTAATAGTATTAGTAATAATATCAACGGTATATACAAGCCATTTATGATTTTTATGGCCCATAAAAACCATAAATTATGGGCAGTTGCTGGACAGTCGTACGTGCATGCGACGGTTGGAGGTGTCGCGTGTTAGTATTGTATAAACAGTGTTAGTATTGTATAAAACTTCCAAGACAGATTTACACGCTGATTTAAAACATATGTTATTGATAAATTTCCAGTGTCTTATTAACAATATAACAAATCGGCAGAAACAGATCAGATCGCAGAAATAATCATGATTATTGGTTTATAAATTGTTTTAGAGAAATAAAAAATGAAACGAAAGTATATATCAGGATCTGCAAAAAGGGCGGAAAAGAGAAAAAGTATTCAAATAGCCACCCAAAATACAGCTCCTATAGCCTCATTCTTTGAAAAAGCTGAAAATGTTGAAAGTGATGCTGAAGATACTCCATCAACATCTTCCGTGGCTGATGAAGCTCAATTAAGTACATCAAATGAAGGTGTAGACAGTGGGAGCATGAAGAAAAATGCTGAAACTTCTAATGATCAATTAGGACTTTTCAATCTGGCCAATGAATACCCTACTGACAGAGGGCACTTCCCATCCTCAATTGAAGAAGGGGATTTAAAGAGACTTATTCTTAGTCATGGCCCATGTAAACCTGATGGACCATTTACAGTGGAAGACGAACAAGGTAACATAACAACAAACTTCAGCACATCATATTATCAATTCCACAGCAAGAACAAAATGTGCTTTTGTTATTCACCAATATTAGCAAAACCATACTGTGAAAATTGCTGGCTTTTTGCTGATCGAAATCATCCACGTTTTGGGTTGCTAAGTGCATGGGTAGATGGAGTTCAGAGCTCAAAAAAGCGATTGCTATCTAAGATAAAGAAACATGAAATGAAAACTTATTGCTCCATATTGAAGCATCTGCTATATATCTTAGATGTAAAGAAGGGAAGACAATAAGTGACGAATCCCAAAAGCAGAACCAACGTGAAACTAATTTATGGGTGAACGTTTTGAGAAGGGTTTTGGGTGTATTTCTTTGTCTGGCCTCGTTAAGTCTTGCTTTGCGAGGACATGATGAAAAAGTAGGTGAAGGGCTTGCACAAGGAGGGAATTTCCTGGGTGTGGTGACACTGTTAAGCGAATTTGACACTATTACTAATGATGCCATCTCCTTATACCTAAGTATGCAACTCGATATATGAGCCCCAAAATCCAGAATGAACTGATTCTAACAACATCTCAGCTGCTGCGAAAGTCTTTGGTCACTGAGATAAATGAATGTCCATTTTGGTCAATTGTACTGGATACCACAAGTGACATAAACAGAGTAGATCAGCTCAGTGTCACTGCTCGGTGGGTTAAAGTACAAAACGAGAATGTTACCATTAAGGAGACTTTCCTTGGTTTTATATCTGTGACTGACGGAACAGCGGCCGGCCTCGTAGAAACAACATGCAAATATGTCGAAGATATTGGACTTGACATGGAAAAGCTCCGTGGCCAAGCTTACGACGGGGCGAGTGTCATGAGTGGTGTTCACAGTGGCGTACAAAAGCTGATAAAAGATCGTTCATCAAAGCCTGTGCCATTCATTCATTGTGCAGCACACAATCTAAACCTTGTTATAAATGATGCCGTAAATTCCGTTGTCGATAACGATAACTTTTCCGGAGTTATTCAATCCATTTACGTATTTTTCTCATCGTCCATAAATCGGTCAAGAGATTTACAGTTGCTCGCTGTTGATTCGTCCTTGTCTTTAAAAAAGCTCTGCGTTACCAGGTGGTCGTCTAGGGTAGATTCGGTCCGTGGAGTGCGGGACAGATTTGTTGACATTTTGAAGCGACTTACAGTTATTTCGTTGACCAGCAAGGATAAAAAAGAACGTGATGAAGCAGTTGGCATCAAGAAAAACATTGCAAAAATCGACTTTATCATAAATCTAGTTCTCTGGGAGAGAATTTTGTCATGTACCAACTCCACATCAAAGGAACTGCAATCGAAAAGTGTCGACCTCAGTGCCGCTTCCAGACTTTTATCCATTAGTTTGTCAGAACTAAGGTATTTGCGAAATTCATGGGAGTCCGTTCGAATGACCGCAAATGCCCTTGCTGCATGCATCATGGGGCATTCCCATTGAGTTTGAGAAACGACGTAAGCGTGGGGTAAAACAGTTCTTCGACGAATTGGCTTCCGATTCTAGGATCGTGGATTCAGAAAGAGCTTTTAAAATAAACATCTTTTACAGAACCATTGATGTTGCTGTAACACAGATAGAAGTGCGTTTTAAAGGAATGCAAATGGTCACAGAGAAATTTGATTTTCTGTTCCCAAGAAACTTCGTCAAACTGGAGGTCGCCGAAATTAAAGTAGCCACCTCGAACTTACTACGTGTATATGGCGAAGACTTTGATGGCGATGACCTGGAAAGAGAGGTTCGTTCGTTTCAAGTTGAATTTCTTGACGAATTAAAAGCGGAAGACGTTACCTCGGTATCAAGCATTCTTGAAATCATTTACAAAGCCAGAATTGCTTCCTCCTTTCCACAGTTATGCAAATTGCTATTGTTATTCCTAACCATTCCTGTGATAGTAGCATCTGCAGAAAGGTCCTTTTCAAAGCTGAAGATCATTAAATCTTATCTGAGGAGTTCTATTGCTCAAGAGCGCCTTGATGGGTTAACTTTGATTTCAATAGAGAACAAAGAAATAACTCAAACATTAAAAGATAAAGTCATTAATCATTTCGCTTTTGTTAATGCTAGAAGGAAGGACAGATTTTCTCGATAAACTTCGTAACTTTGTATAGGGTTTTTAGCATATTATGAATTTTCCATTTAATTGTTGTGTTTACGCGTAGGACGCTCGAGTCCGAACTTTTTTTGTGTAGGCCGGGTTTTCCAGTCCGAACTTCGTACTGATATGGATTTTGATATATTGTCAATAAAATACAAATATTATTTGTGTTGAGGATTCTTTGGGGGCATAATCTCAACAATGTAATGGATTGGAGTCCATTCTGTAACCAAATATTATGAGTGTGAGGATTGCTGTTGTGTTAATACAACTTGGTTTAATACCACATTAAATTTATGGTTTAACACGACAAACACACTTTACCCTTGGTTTATGGTTTAATGCCACATTAAATTTATGGTTTAACACGACAAACACACTTTATCCCTTATTATAAATTAATGCATTGGTCTTCAGTAAAATGTATTATTGCTCCTCCGTTTGGTCGAACACCTCGAAAAAGAACATATCAAAACTCCAAAGCGTGCGAAACTTCGCGGCACGCGTTATCACTGGAATTAGAAAATATGACCATGTGACGCCTATCCTTCAGCAGTTAGCTTGGCTTCCATATGCTTGCCCGAAGGGGACAAAATTACGAACATGTACATATCATTTCCATTACGCAAATATCATTTCCATATGTCCAAATATCAGTTTCAATCCAAATTCGTCGAAGTTGAGAAAAAATCGTCAAAGTCGAGTACAAAATCGTCAAAGTCGAGTACAAATTCGTCGATGTCGAGTTGAAATTCGTCGAAGTCGAGTCGAAATTCGTCGAAGTCGAGTTGAAATTCGTTGAAGTGGAAGTTGAAATTCGTCAAAGTGGAAGTTGAAATTCGTCGAAGTCGACAAACAAATCGTCGAAGTCGAATGCTAAAAACATTTCTTCGTCCAGTATGATAATTTTTTTTATAATATATACTGATACGTCATAATTATGCAAATAATTATGTCGAATCGATGCAACGATAATGCAACGTATATGATAAAGCCCAGCAAATGACTTTCAGACAATTAAGACATAACAAAAATATAAAATTTATTGGCTAACGTTTCGTTGTATTGTTTACAACATGTTCAGAGCAATTAAACTTATTTACAAGTGTGTATTAATGGTATTATATATATACAAATATTTTCAAACGGTTTTTCAAATCCAAGCTCAATCTTTGCTCGACTCTAAATACTAACCATTATATATCTTTAATTTACTATTAATATTTTTAATGGCAGGTACTGGTTGTTTTCATCGTTCCTCTTATTCGCTTATTTGAATATTGGAACCGTTTGAAACTATTTGTATATACAGTGTGTATCAAAATAATTCGAATCCAAATTTGGCGTGTAATAACGCAGAATATATTTGACAAATTCGGTTGGTTTTTACACCATTGTTAAGTTCATTTATTTATCTTTCAAATGACATGCTGTACGCGTCATTTAGTTGGAAAATGAAGGAGTATTGCTTTGACAAAAAAAGTCCATAAAAATCACAATTTTCCGCCGATGGGAATTGGACATTTTTTCTTTCAAAGTTAGTCCCACAAGGCTTTGAAATGCTAATCTCATCACTGAAAACTAAAATGCAAATTTAACGCGAATTTCTTCTCGTTCAACATGTTGAAAGCATAGGAGCTTAAATCTCTTTAAATGAACATGAATTTATGTAAATTTTGCTACATAACAGTTTGTTGATTAATTAAATTTGCATTATCTTTTGTTTGTACGTCTCACTTCGAATTCCCATCGGCAGAAAAATTTGATTTCGAGCAACCAGTTTTAACACACGATTTCTTGGTCATTTTTGATCTTATTGATATAAGAACGATATAATCGGAAACCTAATAGGCTATTCTTTATTGCCATATAAAAATTATATGGTTTACTTTAGTATTTTATAAACAGCAGTCTGTCAAATTTGGATTCGAATTATTTTGATACACACTGTATATATATAATACACACTTGTAAATAAGATTAATTGCTCTGAACATGTTGTAAACAATACAACGAAAGGTTAGCCAATAAATTTTATATTTTTGTTATGTCTTAATTGTCTGAAAGTCATTTGCTGGGCTTTAATCATATACGTTGCATTATCGTTGCATTCGATTCGACATAATTATTTGCATAATTATGACGTATCAGTATATATTAAAAAAAATTATCATACTGGACGAAGAAATGTTTTAATAGCATTCGACTTCGACGATTTGTTTGTCGACTTCGACGAATTTCAACTTCCACTTGGACGAATTTCAACTTCCACTTGGACGAATTTCAACTCGACTTCGACGAATTTCAACTCGACATCGACGAATTTGTACTCGACTTTGACGATTTTGTACTCGACTTTGACGATTTTTTTCTCAACTTCGACGAATTTGGATTGAAACTGATATTTGGACATATGGAAATGATATTTGCGTAATGGAAATGATATGTACATGTTCATAATTTTGTCCCCTTTGGGCAAGCATAATAAA